TTACACACTAATCTGCTCTGGAGGACCAGAGGTCCTCATCAAACTGCTCTGCCCTGTAATTCTTCCCTGAATGCCTGCTTTCAAAACAAGTCAAAAAGGGAAATGAATGCTTATTCCATCAGAGGTTCTGGCATGTTACATTAAACAAGTAAGGCATGTGCAGAATACTCTTTCAAGAAGAAAGAGATGTCAGTAGCAGGTTAACCTTGCTTTCTACTCGTGATCTGTGTATAAACAGGCACAAGACTGGAAGAGGGCAGCCGTTAACCACTTCGTGCACAAGCATGACAAACTGCATCTTTTTCACTCGCTTAGGCACTATCACTGTAAGAGCAAACCTTATGAACTTCATACTGCCTTTCAGATGAGGATTTCAAAGCACTCGGCAAATACAGATTTGCCATCATCATTTCACATCAATTCACTCTCAAGTAGAAGGCAGCTTTTATTTTTTTAACAAGAAATGGAATCACTAGTCTGATAATAACATCTTCACCACAGTATAGGTGCCTTTTTCTCAAGAGGTGTATCCACTATTTGAATTTCCAAGTAGTTAAGCAGGGAGTGACATGAGGGTTAGTCCAAAGTGTTGTCTGTAATGATGGGTGAAGAAGTTCTCATAGAGTCACCATAGAATCATAGAATGGTTTGGTTGGAAGGGATCTTAAAGCTTCCCTAGTCCAAACCCCCTGCCGTGGGCAAGGACACCTGCCACAGAGAAATATCTTTCTTTTAAAGTGATAGTAGCACATCTCAGTCTTTTCATGCTCATTTATTTAAATCCAAAGCAACAAAGGAAAAGTCCACACTGGATCTGATGACACTTGGCAATGATTCACAAGTGGAAATTCCCTTTCAGCCCTGTTCAATGATGGATTTGTATTCCATATTGTGAGACTGTAAAAAGTAAACAGTTTTGACTACATAAAGCAACAGTACTATTTATGCAACTATATAGTCCGTAGTTCTCACGCAACAACATGTGCTTCAGTATTACCTTGCTGCTGTAAGACAGCTAGCCCTGTATTTTGGAAAAAACTGAACGCACAACTTAGCCAAGCTTTTATGGAAAGCCGCAGTGGTCTACTAAAACTGAACGCACAACTTAGCCAAGCTTTTACAGAAAGCCACAGTGGTCTACTAGAGCCGAGAGCGAGCTGAGGAAGGGGCACTGGTTGTCCCCCTCTGACTGTGCTAATGCCAACCCTGCACATCACAGGCATGGTTTCAGAAACGACCAACAGCTCTACCAGCATGCACAGGCACCAACCTCCCACCTACGGACTTTCTGCACTTATTTACTCAGGACAGGGACAATACAGATCTGAACACTGCCACTTCAGATCCCCAGCAGAAAGGACAGAGGTGACATGCTCTGAGCATGACAGCTGCATGCCACAACTCGTGTGATAAGCCTTCAACATAACTATGCAACACAGCTAACTCTCTTCATAGCTTCTCCACCTCTTCCCGATTACCAGCAGCATTTTACCCACAATGCAAAGCAGAATTTAGCCCACCGGGGACTTTTAGCATCTGTTTAGTACCACACACATGACCTCACAGCCATTCCAGACCGGACCCAGCAAAACAATTCCCTTTGCACGTTGCTTTAAACACATTTGTGATCTAGTGAAGGGAACCACTTGTGCTGAAGTTTGAGCCAGCAGCGGAGTGCTTTGCTTGCTTAGTTGCCACACAGAACGCCCACCAAAGTCATCAGGTGGGATGAGTGGCGGGCTAATTGCAGTGTTTCAGTTTATAGCGATCCCGTGAGATGCAGTGCGTGCCTTTAAAAGTGCTGCTCCTTGCACTGAAGTATTCACCACAGTACTCACATTTCAAATGGAAAATAATGCAACTATGGAGGCAATAATGCAACTACTGTGGGTGGTAACCAGCCAATTCTTCTTACACCTACAGCATATTTTGTTCCAGAAGATCATATTAATGCTATTATGGGAATTATGAAATTGTTATAATGGGACCTGCTAGGCAATATTGTGTATTTGGAAACCTAAAATAGCAACGATCGTCCTGAATTTTTACTACAGCTGCTTTTCTTCTTCAATTCAGCCTGCTGTCTCTCTGCAGGCTCTCTAGTTTAATGACTGTTCATCCTTTCATGTTAACAGAAAAATACTAACTACTGGCTAAGGGAGTGCATGTGTGTACTAGCAAGATCATTAGTCTGAATAAATGTGACAGCGGAGTTGCACGAGAAATACCACAGTTAGTGGTAAGTACAAACTACAGCTTTGGGTGTAAAATACTGTAATTACAAGGGATGGAGAAAGCTCCACAGTTTTTATCCCCACAGAAATCGATAGTGGTGCAGACTGCTGCTCTTTGCTGGAGCAGGGGCAGTCTGATGAAAGAGCTTATTGATTTACCCAGCTGATGCTACTGAAGTGAATAACAGACTGGAAGAGAAAGGGCTTGTAAATTAGACTCATTCAATCCAACATTTTCCAGGATATCTTTTATGTACATCTATATAGAGATATATATTTACAAGTGAGTTTTCGTCAAAGCAACAGCCTAGTGACTCCTGGTAAGAGGCTCTGTCTACTAATTCTTTGGCCTCAACTACACCCATGGTGCTAAAGTCAACCTTCAAGCTCTCACTAAAGACTGACACTAAGGAGGAAGCATCAGGGCACCTAGGAGCAGGGTTTGGCTATGGTGCAGGTAAGCAGCTGGCCAACACATCTCCCAGAGGGCTACGGCCACAGAGGAAAGGCGGCTGTGCCTCCCTCCGTGCCACCTGTGCCATGCCAGACCCACTGGCATGAAGGCGTCGGAAAAGTCTGCTGGGGATCCACAGGTCCCCAGACCAGGAGAAATGGCAGTTCCAGGCCAGTCCCCACCAGCCTCTAACCATGGGGAAAGAGGCATGGTGTTTTAGGAATGAAAGGAGTCCAATGTTTTTTCCTAGCTCAGCAGGCAGATTTGCTATGAATCTAGATCCACACTGGCAAAAATGTAAGTCTTCAGATTGGTTTTGCATAAACGGAGAAGGAGAAATAAAGAAAAAGAGAGAGAGAGATAGCAGCAGGCACGCTGCCACCAAGTACGGCAAATCAATCTTCTCAGCAGTGATGGATCAGGGAGCAGGACTGTAAGTTTTACAGGTATATGAAACCCCGCGAGTATAAAGACACCATTAAAACACTGCCATTAAATTCCAACACTGAAGGATTATCATGGCCCCCGGAGCTAAGCAGGTCAATATGTGACTGTATATTTTTCATTACCATTTTTTATATACATATATATGAAGCAGAATAGGATTCACAACAGCCTCACCCTCTCTCC